CTAATAAACTTCCAAACTTTTAAAATATTAGGAAACCTCCTTAAGTTCTGGGTTCTCAGGAAAACCCTTTTAACTTTTAACACTCTTAAAAAAACCCTAAAAGCGTGAAATACCATTTTCATTAGCAAAAATATCAACCTCCATAAATTTAGCTACATGTGAAAAAGATGATAGTCAGCATTAACGCCATTAAGAAGAGTTTTCTAAATACTGTCGAAAGTTTAAGGGACTTACTGAGATCGCTATAGATTACTAGGGTTTTATGACATTTTGCGAGTTAAATGATATTATCTATAGGTGCCTTGTAATTTATTAAATTAACTTAAATATTTATAAATTTATTTATTTATTTAATAATAATTAACTTATTAATATAGAATAAATTTAGCCTCAAAATGATAAGCTTCATAAATAAGATAGGAGTTTTTTTTTAAATTTTTGAATTCAATGCATGTAATCAAGGAATCATCAAAAACGTCATAGTTAACAAAATCCCGCACGAACATAGTTTGAGACAAAAACAACATGTGAAAATGGATAGATACTTTAATTATTATTAATTAAATGAATCACATATATTCACATCATCTCCAAAAAAAAGGCAAAAAACATTGAATGCCTTAAAAATCTCAGTGCATATCAATGCTGATCAATAAAAGGATATGAAAATTATAAAGATTATAGAGAAAGGGAGCTCTATGATGCTAAAGCATCAAGGAGAAAAGCAAGCTAGATTTGACTCTTTTTTCTCTATCTAAATTTTAATTATGAATTGGAATGTTGATTGGAGAAGTATGATGAAATTTTATTATTATTTATAGTGATTTGGTAGGAAAGGAATTGTTTTAACTTTTTTCTCATCATTAGTGCAAATAAATTTATTTTTAGTGTACCAAGAATTAGTGGAGGAGTGTTATGAGTGAGTGTTTAGTTTAAAAATTAATGACAATCAATTTGGAGGTTATGAAAAATTGTATGTATGTCATCATGTATGTATGCATGGATGTGCAAGCAATGAGAAGGTTATGAAAAGTTGAGCATGTATGTATCTTCATATATGTATGAATAGATGTGTTGGAGGGTATTTCGGAAAGAAATGTTTTAACACGGTAACCCTTTTATAATAGTATCATATATATACACACATACACATATGTATGTTATGTATATACATGAACACACACACACATATACATACATACGTATGTATATATATGTGTGTGTATTAAATTGTAATTGACATAGTTTACAACAAAGAAAATGGAAAATGTAGTGAAACAAAGAAAAATTCTATTTTTTCTTGGGGTTCTTTTCCGTGTGCCGGTGGAACATCGTTCTTGTACTCTGTTGACTCGCTGACTAAGACGATGGGTCTTTTTGCTGTTTATGAGGATCAAATCGCTTGGAAGCCAGCTCAGCCTTCTCTTAGCAATACCTCAAGTATATCTCTGCACGTGTGCGTGTGTATATGTGTGTCTAGGTGTCTCTATTTGTCTCCCCCTTCGTCTCGTCTTTGTCTAAAGTGGATGATTTTCTCTTCTTTTATAGGCTAAAAGAGAGAGTTAATGGTCCCCTTAAATGTGGATTAAGTGGCCATTAAAGTAGGAGTTAGTGAGGAACAATTATCCCCCAAAAATAGCTTTAAAACGACTATTTGGGCGAATTTCGCAGGCTTGGTGAAGTTCGTTGAAGACGTGGGCGAAGATCGCTACGGACGTGGGCGAGGGTCGCTTCTAAAGTGCGCGCGTCTTCTTCGGAAGTGGATGACTTGGTCTATGTGGGCGAAGTTGAGCGAAGTTCGTTAGTTGGCGAACTTCTCCTATGAGTTCGAATTTAGCTCAGAATTCGACTCTGGGTTTGGCCAACTGATGTCACCTTTTGACTTGATCTGAAGCGTGTTGGGGGGGGGGGT